CTGATGGTGGGGAATGGGCAGACACGGGGCTGCCAGGGGTTGAGGAAACGATGTGGGCTGCGCTCGGGGGCTCCTTGCCAGACCCGCACACTGCTGCCCTGTCACCTCACTGTCCTGCCGGACACTGCAGTTTCTCCAGGTCAGCTCCAGCTATCTCTGGGTGTCACAGGGACAGGTCACAAAGGGGTCCAATTGTGACTCATTGCCCCGCCCGGGCGTGGCTAGCTCAGGGCCCTGGGGTTGAAATGGCATAGACCAAATTCACCCAGCAGGAGGGACGCGTGGGCATGTTTACCCAGAAAGCTTTGGAAGTTGGCCCAAGAGCAGCCATGCTGCCCAGGCTTTCATGCTTTTGCTTTTGTGTGGCCAGAGACAGGCACAGTAGGACAGAGGAGGAAGACAAACACTCGCCGTCAGCTCAGCAGCTGTTTAGCTCACAGGCTTGTGAGTTCCTAGGCATTCACTACTGAATCATAAAAATGTAAATAATGAGTTTCACACAGAAGATACAATCCTGTAATCCTGTGCCCTTATTTCTGATTAGATGACAATACACTTTCAGATAATTGGTAACATTGCATCCCAAGAAGGCACTTCCCTGCAGTTTATCAGAAGTAGCTGAAATTAAAGAAGGCAGAAGCTGTTATGTTTCCAAAAATAAACTAGTTAAAAAATTTTAACTCAGCAATTGAGACATCACGTAAATTATTAATTTTACTTTTTTTTTTTTCTTCCTTCTCAAGACTGTTTTAAAAAAACAGACGAGGCAAGTGAAAGTCTGAGCCTGATGTATAAATGTACTGCTGAAGATATTATAGGACCAATTCTTGATTTTAACCCACAAGCCCTACACCTAATCATGCGTTTCCTCAGACACCACTTTTTACAATCTATCCACTTTCTAACATAAAGAGCAACTCCCCCACCCCTCCTACCTTATCCCTCTCTTCTGAAAAGTCTGTAGTCCTCAATCAGGGTATTCCAAGCATGGGATTCATCCCACTATGTTTCCGTGATAGCAATTAGGTCATACTTTCCCAATTGCACCACGCTTTCTAGCTCCTTCTGTTTATTTCCCATACTGCACACATTGGTATAGAGGCATTTCAGCTTAGCTACTGGCCTCGCTGCCTTCTCGGAGGAGCTGTCCCTAATACATCCAGGACAAGTTTGGGGTTTTCCACTACCACCTTCCAAGGCAGCAACATTCCCACATGCTTCTCTGTCACCCAGTACACCCCCCGCCCCCATCATATCTAGTTTAAAGTCCTGCTAACCAGCCCAGCCAGCTTGCTCCCAAGAATATCTGTAACCCTTCTAGTCAGTCGCCTCCTGTCTGCTGTCAGCATTCCCCCTCTCTGAAGGCTGCATCCCAAACCATAGCACAAGACCGTTCACCAGCATGTCTGTCCTCCTCCTTTTGTGCGGATCCCAGTCACCAACTGAAGACAGAGGAGAACACAACTTGCGCTCCTGATCCCTTCAGCAGTCTTCCCAGAGCCCTGAAGTCCCTTTTGACATTCGAGGAATTCTTTTGCCTTTCATTTCCAGTGTAGAAAACTAGGAACGGATAATGGTAATGGCTTAACCAGGCAATGGATATTCCTAGCAACATCTCTCAGCTGGGCTCCAGCTATGGGACGGGACTGAGCGGCATATCGGGCCCTCGGTTCCCCTCAGAAGGGAGCCTCCTATGATGATAGCCCTTCTTTTTTCCTGACCGATGTTGTAGCACAACAGGGAGCAGACTGACTAGCCTTGGGCAATCTCTCCTGTAAGAACTGACTTTCACTGACATCCACATCCCCCAGTCTCTCCAGCTCCAGAGCCTCATACCTGTTACATAAGGGCAGCTGGGAAGGTGGGACAGGCTGAGGGGCAGTCTGCTTGTTGCCCCCAACAAACACTGGCTTCCGTCCCTCGCTGTCTCTCAGGTCACCCTTTCCCACCTGACTATGAAAGGGCAGATGATCCCCCACTGCCTGAGGAGCATCTCCCCCACCCCCTTCCTACAGCGACGGCAGAGTGCAGCTCCACCAGTCAATCCCCTTCCCATAAGCCCGGATGCTCCTCAGCCTTTCTACTTCCTCTAGCTCTACCATCAGGCTGAGCAGATCATCCACCTGCTCACACCACACACAGGTGGTACCCCAGCTGCCCTCCTGTAGCAGTGACAGGGCCAGGCATTCTCTTCAGCCTGAGACATGAACCGCGGCACACATTCATACTTTCAGAGTCTCCACGTCCCTTTTAGCAGCAGCTTGCCACGGTGGGGACCACGGTGAGTCGACAGAACAGCGACCTAAGTGACTTCATAAGCTATGTGCTAAGTGCTGTGGTAAGCCTCCTCCTATGTACCAAGGTGCCTAACTTTGCCTGCCTGCCTACTCACTCTGCCTGCCCGCCGAGCTGCCGGGAGGGAGAGCGCTGTCTTGCTCTTCCTCAGCTTCTTAGAGCTTCTTGGAACTTCTTAGATGCGCTTTTTTGCTGCGATTTGGACCTTCAGAAACGGT